AACAGCTCTGTGATGAACAATATTTCTCTACTCATAATAATGCAAAAGCTGAATGCCAAGTTTCAACAATTGGAATCAATCTGCAAATAGAGCACGGAAAACTTAATTTGATAGAATAAAAGAAAATGCAGTCAATCTTGATAGTGTCAAGGTAAAACTACAGCCAGAGGTAGAAAGGAGAACAGAATAGAGAAGAAAGAAAAATTAGGGAATGAGTGGGGAATCAGGTAATCACTGTTCAGGTAATCACTGCTTTTCATTATAAGCCCTTTATTCCACAAGCATTATTTTAGCAAAAATATGTTTTAAATATTTAAGGAGGAAGTTCCAATGGCAAACATTACAAAAAGGTAAAGGAAGAAAGAGCTAGATTTGGCCTGCCTGATCATGGGCAACCGTGGAAAGGACCATTTCAGTGTAATATTGTAATGGAAACTAGAGAACAGTGAGCTGGGGAATGAATGGGAAATGTATCTAGCAGAACTCTAAGGACGAAAGAGAACAGGAGAAAGGTTGCTAACAAGACGGATTAAAAGTAAAGGGAAGGTTACTGTTTCTATTTTTACTTATAAAGAAGAGACTTGAGTAAATTTTAATTTGATTGAGGTAAAGAGGTGAAGACAGGTGATGAAATCCAGAGTACAGGGTGAGGAATCAAACTTAGACAAAAGGAAGGGTATCTATTCTTCTGAAATAAAAAGAAACGAGGTAGGGGTGGATTCAGACAAGGAGGCAGAAAACTGGTGAGATCTAGCTAACGGCAGGATCATGGAGAGCTTTTGTCCTTTAAAGTGAACAAAGCAAGAGCTAGAAGAGCCTAACAGAACTGGTCATTTCAGGCAGCAGAACAAAAGCCAAAAAGGACTTATTCTTAGGTAAATGGACTAAGCTGGCAGGCCTACTAGTATGGTTGAAAGCACTTTTACATTTGAGAATCATTTTATATTACCTCATCTGTTGGTTAAATTATTCTTTATAAATAGTTCATAAGATAACCAAGTATCTAGAAGAGTATCTTTAAAGAATGACCAAGGAAAACAGAGTTTTACTCATTTATACAAGGTCCTATGGCAAGTTAGTATCAAAGTAGTAACAACAGTAAGAGAGTTGTATGTATCTTCTCATTTTATGTCCTTGTGAAACTACAGATGAAAGGAACTTGTGCTCATTTGAGACCCAAACACTTCCAAATAACAGAAATCTATTTCAATCAACCAGCATTTATTAATATAACATACACAATTCTCACAATCCTGCAAGGGAGGTACAATGACCCCTACTTTACAGATACTGAATAAAGAGAGATTAAGTATCTTGCCTAAAGTAGCTAAACCATGATTCCAGCCCAAATCTGTTATATTCCAAAGTATGTATGCCACTGTATGAAGCACTGAGTCAAAACCAAATGTGAAGTGTATTTTGACCATTCTCAGTCCACTGCAAGTTCATTTGAAAAACAGACAGAAGAATTTTAAAAACATAAAAATTAGCTAAGATTTAATTAGCTGAACCAAACCTGGGTGATCAATGTTAAAATGTGCCAAAAGCTGTGCTTTAAATGTTAGGAAAAACCTTCTTGCATTCTCGTCATTATGAATTAAGACCATTACATTTAGAATCATAATTCTATAACTATTTTTCTATCTGTGTTCCTTCTTTCTAATCAATCTAATTAATATGGTAGGTTGTTTTCTGGCTACTAAGTATTACAAATAGAAATCTATGTTTATGACAAATTTTAGAAATGTACTTTGAGTAACTAGTTCTTTTCAAACGGATATAAAAATTAGCAGATAAATTGGTGACTTTAAACTGTGGGTGCCTTAGCAAAATTTATCTATGCATTTTGCTTTTTTTCTATTTCCATTACTAACCTTCCATCGTAAAGCAACTCTTCCTCTGGGCATTTATGCTGATGAAACAGTGTTATGTTACTTCATGCCAGCTTGCCCTAAGTAACCTTAAGCATGCAGATAGATTTTAATAAAATGAAGACATGTTCCTCCTCCAAAGATTTGATTTTAAATTAGATTATAACCAAAGCCATAATTTTGAGACTGCAAAATTAGATAACTTCATTAAAAACAAAATGACAGCTGAGAATGTTTTAAAGCTGCCTGACCAGGTTTAGAATAAACCAAGGAATAAAACTAAATCTGTGATTACTACAGATAAACATGGGTCATGTATAAGTAGCTCAAGCTTGGGAACATCAGAGTGTCAGGAAAAAATGGTAGTGAGCTTAAAGGGAAGTATTATTAAGCAGTTTCCACTGCGTGTCCTGGATTACTGGAACACAATATAGACAGGCTCTAGTGTAACCACGGTTGTTTACAATACCTTCGGCAATTTGAAACTTTGTGATTTCAACAATGGCATCAATTGACTAAAAAGTTTTGAGTAATGTAATCACAGTGATTTACCATTTCACACAAAGGTGTTTCTAGCTCATAAACAGGTTACCAGTGACCCCTTCTGTCTTGTACATAACTGAAATATTGAATTTATGGTTTGGTATTACTCTGTATTAAAAATTACAAAGCAGGATTTTAGCCTTGAAATCAAATTTTATATCCATTATCTCATTTAAACCTATACCACTTTGTTTTATTAGTCTATAGTCATTGCCATTCTGACTATTCCTGGTGCTTGGTAAGCCTTACTTGTTGGTCTTATCCTTATTTTTAATAGCCTTTCTTTTATCACCACTTGTTTATGTACCTTTGATGCATCTTTCAGGCTAGCATTGCTATGCTTTCCTTCTATGTTGGTTCACCAACATAGATTATGATCTACTCTTATAATTCTGATCTACTCTTTGATCTACACTCTCTCATCTTGACTATTTCTATCTTTTCCCTCTTTAAGAGTTATCAGTAACATTGGTCTCATTCAAATCTTTGCTTCTAAGCTTAGAAATATGCTTTATTGCATCCAAATTTTTCATTTTCCATTAGGTTCTACTTTCTTAATATCCACTTGCCTCTTCTTCTTCCCCCTATCTTTACCCGTTTTTGGCTGCTTAAATTGTCCCTATGATATGCTATCCTTCTCCTCTAGCTTTCCACTTAAAAATTCTGATTTTTGAGGAATTTACCTAAACTGTACTTCCTTTTTCTTATATTTTCTAATTTATTTATATACTGTGTCACTGAGGGAACTAAAATTAAATATAATGACTAATCTTGTCAACTAAAAAGTTTAGAGCAAACACACACAAAAATGTATAATAAAACCCAAAAAGAAAAAGCCAAATAAATGTTGATTCTGTTTCTTATCTAGTTTAAGCCTTATAATCCAATGACCTTGCAACAAACTTAATTCTCTTTATGCATAATCAGAAGCATCCATCACTATCCATAGAGTCACAAAGTGATATTCAGAGAAAAAAGGAAGTATATGTATAATCCACACACATACACATTAAATTACACATTGCCCAACAGTCTTCCCTCATAAATCTAAAAAACTCTTCTTTAAAAAGCAATTATATGTATGTATGAGACACAGGTGGGTTTGCTCCCAAGTTAATGATTTATTAGGGTCTTTATACAGCTAAAAACCAAAACTTTAGAACCCAGGCTTCATTTTTCAAAGTGGTTCTTAGGCCGTAACTGAACATTCTACAGGAATAAATGAAGAAAGCTAATCTAGTCTTGAGTTTGAGATTAATCATCCTAACAGACTCTGCTTGGATGGTAAAAACAAGCAGTGGGAGACCCTGTAACAAACCACTGTAGTAGAGAGTCGTACACAGAGGAGTGAGAGCAGAGGTTGGGGAAAGGGGGAAAAAATGTAAAATTAAAACCATAAGAGGCCTTTATGAACCCATGATGACATGTGCCAAGACCTGAGAGAGATAATTAACTCAACTCTCTGCATCTGAGGGCAAAACAAAGCTGAACAATGGGAACTCCGGGAAAGCAATGCATACTATCTTCCCCTAAATCCCAGAGAAAGCAATTCACCATCAAAATATTTCCAACATACAAGAACAAAGTGACAAAATTATCAGTCTTTGGGATCAAAACAAAACAGAAAAGACTTATACTCAGAGTAAACAAAAACTTTAAGCTGGAGAAAGTTACAGTGGCATGATAGAGGAAATACCAGTGGAATAGTCTTCTACCATAATGTCATATTATTGTAGATATTCATATAAATAATAAATAATCAAATCAATGATGACCCAGAAAGTATGATTCAGTGGAGTTTGGCCTCAATTATTTCCCAAGTCTCTTTTCTCCAAAAAAAGAAATTATATAATTTTATACAGACAACAATCTAGAATAAAAAGAAATACTGTACCCTCTCTTTCTAGCCAAAATTTAATTTTCCATTTGTTCTTTAATATTACTCTTTAAAATGATCCTTTCCACTAGCTCTTCCACATGGAAGTAAAAACTTTAAATCTTAAAAAAATCAGTATCAGTTCACACTAAAGCACTAACAGAAATCAGAGTATATTTATTATGAATGAAGAATAGGTATCGATATTCCAATGTCATTTTATTCTCATTACAAAAAGATACCTGTGTTCTCCTTACCAGCGATAAGATATATAGGAAGAATCAGAAGTCAAAAATGGAAAGCATAATAGTCATACACACAGATTACCCTGAACTGATGAAAATTATACAAGCTTTTAAACAATTTCACACTGAGTTGAGTTTGGTGCATCATGTTTTAAATATCTTTTCTCCTTAGAACTATAGGTTCCAATGCCAGCATAGATGATTTACATTTGCCTACAAAGACTGGTAAGCTATCAAATGCCACACAGCTTAGTGTAGGAGGTTGAGAAGCTATGAAAAGTGATACTTATTTTTAAAGTAAGAACATTATGCTTCTAATCAAACAAACTAATAGCTGTTCTCTAAGCCATCTTGATTTTCCAGGCATAATCATTGTTTAGTCATATCTGGAGAGGCAAATGCTAAATAGGCAGAGCCCTGAAATGTTCACCCCACTAAATGCCTGATTTTCTTTTCTCCTCTTACCTGATAATGAGCCTGGGCTTGCTGCGCTGAGTTCAAAGTGACATTGCAGAGTTTGCAGTACAGGGGCTTACATAGCTCCTCCAGGGCAGAGTCTTGTTCCCCTCCCTTAGGTAACTCTTCTTCCCCTGCCAGAGGCAAGGAAGTGTCCTGCCCAAAAGGCTTCTGTGGTGGAAGCTGCAAGGATCCTGTAGACCTGGTGGCCACTGACATAGGAGGAGAAGTTAAGGGATGCTTAGGCGGAGGAAGCCCTGTGTGTTGCAGGAGGATCATTGGGTAGGAAAGCCTTGAGCATAATCCAGTGGATGATGAGAAGCTGGGTCTTCAAATCTGAATCAACAGCAGAAAAAAAAAAAAGTACTCACTTAAAAAGGAGACCTCAGAAATACCACATGTAAAAGACATCATATGACCTTTTCCTCTACTTCCCCAATCCCATTTTTGGGACTTTTTTCCTTTTGCTTCATCTAGCAGACTTCCCCTGCGTTAATTCATATTGACACGATGCTCTACCAGTGAGAATGGCATTATAGATGTGGCTTTATTTTGCTTGGCACAGCTCCAACTGCTATCCCTCTGGCCCATGAACATTAATAGCATTGCATCCATGGCTAATTAAATCTAAAAGTCACATGGCTGAAATGAACATCAAAGGTCACCTTTTCCAGACCCTTTCCTTCAGGCACACTTACACTTAAACACTCTTGATGATAACTGTCCATAGACAAAAACACCACCAGTTAAGAATCTTAGCAAATATCTCCTTTCCATCCCATGTCAAACAGAGTACCACCTCTCAGAATCCTTAAAACACTTCTAGAACTAGCTAAAATATCAAGGAACTCTAGGAATAACCCACGGTTAAAATGTGACAGAAATAAATAAAAGTGTTCCTTCTGATGCAACCAGCAATATTTAAGTAGTTGAGCTAATGATTCTTTACAGCAAAGGTTGCAAAGAGATGCACTGTAGGCCACACACAACCACAGATATGCTGTTTGGAATATACAGTGGGGTTTTTTGTTTGTTTGTTTGTTTTCATCTTTTAAAATGAATTAGTTGTCAACATTTAATAATTAACAGATTCGTGGTTTCTCTTGATAAAAGGATGATCTGGCAACACTTGGCCCACATTCCTACCTGGGAAATAACTAGCTTGTTAATGCTCAAAGGCACTGCCCCTGGAACCAGGCCTGCCTTCCCCAGGCCACCTCAGCCCCCATTCAGCTGGTGCCTGTACTTATGCTACTTGCCTGATCCCTGTAGGCTCTTAAGTTTATGACCCCACCTTATATACTATACTCATATATACTAAGACTATACTCATATATACATGAGACTATACTCATGAATCCCCTGTAAAATCAAAATATTTTTTTCTCCTTCTAAAAGTAAATTACCTGCACAAAATAAGATATCAAGTAAATGTCCAATGTAGTAATGGATCACACTACCATAAACCTTGGTATAATTCCAGTTCCTCAGGCTACTGGATATTTCTTCCACCCTATTTATTAAATAACTGATAGTCGCTATTCTGTTTCCCTCAGAAAAGACCCAATATGTTCCACCCTTTCTTCAATCTTATTCATGATTTCTACTGCTTCCCACCCAGATGGCATCTTCTAACCTTGAGTACCTTAAAATGAACCACAGTATACCTCTGAGTTCCCAAGATTCTAATTAACCCAAATTAGGATCCTTATTGCAAAATCTACAACTCCCTCCCCTTTCTCAATACAATACTATTAAAACCTCTTCTCTTGGTCAACATAATATGGCTATTTTAAGCTACTGAAATTTTCCATCAGCAATGCAAATGTGTATATTATGGCAATAATAGATATACTAAAATGAATCAAGTAAATTTTGAAAAGTTAAAAGTCTATTTATCACATTTGGTAACTACACAGCACCTGAAAACTGCAATCAAGTAACAACTTTGATACTAAATTCAGGTTCTGCAGACAAGAGGAAATCAGTGCCACAGAGAAATAATGTAGTTAAGGGCAGAGTGGATAAATTATTAGTCATAGTATTTAACAATACTTTTTATTAATCAGACTATTTAGAAAAACAATAATATTATTTGACTCTTAAGCAGAAGTATGCTGCCATATCTCTGGGAACATAAAGAAATGCAATATTAAAAAATAAATAAATAAATAAATAAAAAGAAATGCAATATAGACTTAGAACATTTAAAAAGTCAAGTTTTCTATAATGGTATTATTTCTTTCAATTAAACCAAGCAAAGACAACCAGAAAGCAAAGACAGGTATGGTCATTCAATGAAAAGAAACTATGAAGACAAAACCCAGCTTTTTAAAAAGTTTAACTACCTCATTGTAATAATTCATAATGTTAAAAGTCCACATATACTACCTGTACAGAGTCATACTGATGCCAAATTGCCACAATCGTTGTTGGTTCATAAGAGAAAAGGTGGAGAAGGGTGTCAAAACATCTGGATAAAGGAAATTAACAATATAAACAGAAAATCAAATGCTACCAATTGCCTAGACATGTCTAGACTTGTTTTTTGAAAGCTCACTCCCTCTTGAGGAAATTCCAGCATGTGTCTCCTCCAGTGTTATCTACAGGTTTCCATCAAAATAAAGGCCCTTCTCAAAGCACAGAGGCACAAAAGGCCCCCTGCCAGAGGTGATAAAATTCCCTGATTTAAGAAAAAAATTCTTGCCAAATACAGACTTACCCAATATCACATTTTATGTTTATAATTTTTAAAGAATAGCTAGATATTCCAAATTTATTTATTCTATATATTTAACAATCAACACAATAACATCAACTCCCAGAAAAATATCTATACATGACAATTACATCAGGTATTAGTACATTTGCAAACAAAAATCAGTATAAAATATAAATCTAAAAATAAAGAAAACCAAGCCTTCATTTAATGCATGAATTATGGAACATAAAGAAACCCAAAGCATACGCAACTCATATCAGTTCAACTGCTACATTAGTTTAAAAGAGACTAATTTGAAGGCTGATATAATATTCCTCAGATTTGTAAAAACTACTCAATTTGATGCTTGTGGTAGCATAAATGAAGGATTTATGGCAGTTAATGTCCTGGTTTGGAAAGGGGTTGAAAGGACATTAAAGGAAATCAAAGCGTCACAATGTACCCTGTTTAAAGAAAATGAATGATCATAGCATACTTAGTTTTCAAGACTGGACTGGGGCCTACTTTTCACATACTGTATTAAAAAACATCTCTTTCTCATTTGGAGAAATCTTCAGAAGAAAGAGGATAGAATAAAGGAACAGGTTACTGGCACCTCAGTAAACTAGGGAAGTCTGTAATTGGGAATTCTGGAAATGAGGAAAAGATGGCAAGCATTACTCAGAGGTCATCGAACGCAGCAAGACTGGAAAAGATGGAGAAAAATATAAAATAATCAGCCGAGGCAAGGTATATCATATAAGGAAGGCTGGAAAGAACGCAAGAAACTGGGAAGAGGCCTTGGTAAACTAGTGAATGTTTTCCTCTCTCGGCTATGACGGTCCCTAATCCTAAGGAACCGTTTATATTTCTGAATCAAAGCCACAGATACTTCAGCATTGCCCACATATACCTTACATTCCTAAGATGTGCGTGCACACACATGAAGGGACACACACACACACACACACACACACACACACACACGCTCGCACGCCTCAATCCAATAAGGATGCCATCACGAAAGATGGAATCCCCCAGCTCCCCCGGGGCGAGGGCAAGTGCGAGGGCCAAGGCAGCTGCAAGCATAGATGATCCAAGTGGTACACGTGAAATGCTTAAAACAAACAAATAGGTAAATAAAAGCAGCGCAAGCCCAGTCACGTGGAGGGCCGGTGAAAAGACAGCAACGGGAATCCGCCAGTCCCCCGCGCTCCCGGCTCATCCTAAACGCCCCCGGCACCTCAGCGCCCGCACTTACCGGAACCCCCGGACGCGCCGGCAGCCTCCGCGCCGCGTCCGCCCGGGACTCCCGCCGCTCCGCGCGCCGGCTCGGCCCGCCTCGACTCCGCCTCTCCTCGCAGCAACTTTCTCGGCTGGCCCCCGCCGAGTCCCCTGCACAGCTGAAGGCTGACTGTCAAAAGTCAGTCCAACCCGACCCACAGGGAAACAGCTGCAGGAAGTGACTGCGGAACCGGGAGGCGGCGGAGGAGGAGACTGAGGGCGCCGGCCCGGCGTCGCCACTGCGCATGTGCCTGGCGGAGCAGGCCCGGCGGCGGCTCCCGCATCCCCACCGCGCGGGCGGGCGGGCGGCGCGCTGGTCAGGTGCCTTGACCGCCGGCGCGGCGGGCTGGGCCGGCGTGGCGAACAAAGGCACGAGCGAGAAGGAGGATGCCCGCCGCCGGTCTCCTCAGACGCCTCCCACGGGCTGTGCATCGTATACCCTGGAAAGTTGATCTGAAGCAGAAGCCTGGGCAGAGCTTTTGCAACTTTCATCGCCTGTCATCGAGATCCAAACATTTTTCATTCCAGCCCTTCCCGCAGCCTGCTGATTACCGGCTAAGGCCGGTGAGTGGCGCTGCCGAAACGTCCGGGGTCCTTTAAACTGCTGCGACGAGCCTTTAAACTCTTCCTCTCCCCACCTCCTCCCCAGGATGGAGGGAAAAGAGCGCGGCTGCCTGCCCTGTGGCCTCCCGGTCGCACTAGACCTTCACCCCACACCCCACTCTCCCACCCCGGCCCTCTCCCCTGCGCTAAAGTGAACGAGAAATGGAAGAGACTTCCTGCTGACCCCCAGAGACACACCGGCTAGACAGCAAGGACCAGCAAGAGATCGGCCCGCGCTAGGGCGTCACCTCCTCCATTGCCAAAATGGACATCTCTAGGGTTGACATTGAGAGATGAGGAAATTCCAGCTCTATAAGTCTAGTTTGTAAATTCACCCATATGAAAATTTGCTGGTTACTTTTATAGTTTATAGTGGTATAAATTTACTACTTTCAGAGTATAGCTCGCTGGTGTTAAGTACATTCACATTGTTGTGTGGTGATTTTTTTAAATCATTAATAAAAATGCTCAGGAGATGGAAGTATAGTAAGAGGTACCCTGATAATGGGCAAACTACTTAAGGAAAATAAGGCTAGTTTTTTTGGCTGAAACATACATCATCCAGCACCACCATCAACAAACCATAAATGACTGCATAAGTGCAATGATTGTTTAGCAAACATACAGCTAGTGTATACTGGCCATTTGGGGAGATTAATACATCTGAATTGTTTTTCCAACTATATATGTACATATACTTTATGTGTCAAAGTTTTATTATATTAATAAATGTCCACATTTTTTTAAAATAATAAATCCTGCTGGAATCCACTCCCTAGCCCTTTTTCTATATGGTTTTTAGCCAGTTGTGAAACTACCCGGTCCGCACTCTTTAGCTAGGACTGCACCTACACCTTGGTGAGCCTTCCCAAACTGACTTCCCTAGGACTGCAGCTAGATCTTGGTGAGCCTTCCCAAACTGACCTCCTACCAATCTCCTCACCTTTACTCAAGGTTCCATCCATGCCTTTTACTTTCCTACCTCCGTGATTTAACTCCATCTGCATTTTGAGTACGAAATTATTTTTCTCCCCTCTCCATGCATTTCCAAATCCTACCTATTCTTCGAGGCCCCTTCTTCCATGAGCTCCCACACTTCCTCTGCACACCTTGATAACACCCTTATTATTTGTTACCTCCCATTATAATTACTTAAAGAGATATTTAATCTGTCCTATAAACTCCTTGAGTTTAGGAATGATGTGTTGGAGTTTTCAAATTTTATATTGCAGAGATTTATGCATTCTTGTATGTCAGGATAAAAATTGGAACAATTTCATGTGCTCTGTCCCTGGTCTTATACTCTTCCTAGATAGCTAGGCATTTCCTTTCCTGCCTCACGAAGAAAGAAGGCAATCCTCAGATCTTTGTTTAATAGACATTTGAAGCTCGTGGTACTGAAAATAATCTCCTAAGTCAGAGCTTTTGGTTTGGAATTGTTGGACTGCATGAGTTTCAGCTCCTAAAGAGCCAAAAGAAAAATAGATCATAAACAATGTATCCATCACTTTGGCTGTAAAAAACAAAAACAAAAAACCAAAATCTCAATGGCCTGTGCCACAAAAGTTTATTTCTTGCTTGCATTACATGCTGTGGGTCAGCCGAGGTTCTGTTCCATGAGTCCTCTTGTTCCTGAAGAAGCAGCTGCTATGAAGGACTTGGCAGTTCTCATGGTAGATAGGAAGATCCAGAGAGCTGCCAGAAACTTGCAAAGCCTCTTAAAACTGCTTTCCAAGATATCATGATACATCCATTCAAATCCCATTGGCCAAAGCCTTTTGTATTTCCCAAGTCAATGGAGAAGAAGTCTATTGCTTCTATAGGCAAATCGCATGGCAATGGTCATGGATTATAATCTTTAGGGTTAGGGTGGGGGATACGTGTGGTTAATTGCAAATAGTAATACAACCTGCCACAAACCTAAGGGAACAAGTTTCCTCACCCCAGAGGTATTGGTGTTTATCCCCAAGAAAGGCCTGTACCACCTCCACCTCCACCTCCACCCCCAGTCCCTGGGATTGGTTTGAAAGAAGCTGTGGATATAGAAATAATAGAACTCCCAGATGTGATTGAAGATCTAAAGATCAAGGGCATCTGATATCTATTTATCTATTTCCAGTGAAGATCAGAAAGCATCCAAGGTTTCCCCTCAATAAGCCATCAGACAGCAGCATGTTAGCATGAAGTGTTTGGGCATGAAAAGCCAGAGGAATGCCCCTAAACCTGTTCTTTTATTTTATTAGTATTTATGGTATTTAAAACCATTCAAAGGAGCTGAGAGAGGGCTGTAGTGTATTGAAGAGCCTACAGGTCAGAAAGAGGAAGGACAGAACTGAAAGCACAGACCAGTGATCTGAAGGCAATGGAAAAGTGGACATCAACTTTTGAGGATAAAGCCAAGGGGTGTTTGAATCTGACAACCAGATACCTTCTCTTGCCACCTGCCTCCCTCCACCTTCCCCCTCAAATTTTCAGACTATCCTCAGAAAAGCAAGGGGGGAGGTAGATAATTTTGAAGTGATCACATTTTAGCCAGAAATGACTTGGGGACAGGAGAGATTTATGTGTTACAGAAATGTTCATGTTGAAGTGGCTAAATTATCTCTCTTTAGGATCAACAGGATCTCAATATTGAAACTAAGTTTAATTATTTTTTAGAAAGAGATTTTTTGCACACTTGAGTTTTATGACCTGATGCAGCATAACCAGTATATTTGTATGACAGTGGTTGATGGAATAAATACATGAATGAATGAGGAATTTGTTCCCTCCATTCTATAATAGATATAGCACCTGACAATTGTACTTCATAGAAATGTTGTCTTTTTAGTGTAATTATTATGTGAAACTCTCTGAATTGATCAGGAGGAAATTCTCATATTAAAACAAGGATAATTATTTTTCATTAGACTAGATCCCATACTAAATGTAGGGAAAATATACATTTTACATTAATTTATTTACCAAGAAGATTGTTCTAACATACTTTTGGTGGCATGGCTTGAGCCTTTAGGGAATCTAAGCCAGAAGTCTTAATGCTGTACCCACAATCAGGAAGGAACACTCGTCCCTCCCCATGTAATGATGCAACATGTCAGGTCATATCCCCTCTTGTATGGAAATTTGCATCATCCTTTAAGACTCCACATGCCTGGGCCAGCACACATAATGTCTTCCAGATTTACTTCTTTCTTTAAATCATCAGAGAAAGCCCCCAAAATTCTTTGTCTCTCACACTAACCTCTGCTTTTCAACACAATCCTTCCTTTACGGTCAGAACAATGCAATACAACAAAAATCCCAAAGCAAGCAAAATAACCTCTCAGGCATTTTAATAACATTTTAACATTTTTTTTACCAAAAAATAAAATAGAGAAATAGCAGAAAGATGGCAACAGCTATGGCACAAATTGTTTTTAACTTTCCTGAATTCCCCTAATTAAAAAAAAAAAAAAATGGACCAAGTAGGTAGAAAACTAAAAGTCTATAGCCAACTACTATCACAAAATATCCTCCAAACTGCAAAATATAAGTGTTGGGGAGGAACCACCACTAGCTACAAGACCTGTGTCAGCAGCAGGAGAAAGCAGAGAGAAACAAGAGAGCAACTGACAGACCCGAGAAAACCAAAGTGCACTCTGCCCTCCGTATCCACTATATTCTACACCTGGAGAGTCAACCAACCACAGATCAAAAATATTTGAAAAAAATTAAAAATCTAGCCCAGCATGGTGGCTCACACCTATAATCCTAGCACTCTGGGATGCTGACACAGGTGGATCGCTCAAGGTCAGGAGATCGAAACCAGCCTGAGCAAGAGCGAGACTCCACCTCTACTAAGAAATAGAAACAAATTAATTGACCAACTAAAAATATATAGAAAAAATTAGCCGAGCATGGTGGTACATACCTGTAGTCCCAGCTACACGGGAGGCCAAGGCAAAAGGATTGCTTGAGCCCAGTTTGAGGTTGCTATGAGTTAAGCTGACACCATGGCACTCTAACCCGGGCAAAGAGTGAGACTCTGTCTCAAAAAAATAAAATCAAATAAAAATAAAAAATTTTAAAAAATTCAGTAACACTAACAATATTACAATAAAAATACTAAAATTAAAAATAATACAGTATAGCAGCTAGTTATAGAGCATTTACATTGTATTAGGTATTATAAGTAGTCTAAAGATGAT